AACTAAAACAGGGATTATGATTATTTCATCTTGCTATGAGGAAATGGCACAAAGTGGCATGCCTTAGAACTCAGTGAGTTTGTGGTACGGCCAGGACTAGAAACAAAACCTTTCATCCATGACTTTATCAAAGGCCCCACAATTCTGGATGTCTTTTTCCAAGATCATCCCCAGGGATACATGGACTCTAAGGAATAATCCTGATGATAATATCAAAAATGTAATGTTTGCTATATATAATTCATATACATTAACTCAGTTCTCACAACAATGTGAGAGGTAAGTACTATTATTATCTCAATAAGCCTTAATTGAGGGGATGGAGGCCTAGTACTTCTAAGTAACTTACACAAGGTCACAGAGCTGGTAAGTAGGTAAAGTAGCCAATAGATGAACCAGCGTGGAGCCACAGTCCATGCTCTTAACCACTTGACAATGCGGTAAGTTCTATCTGCTTCCCACCTGTTTATGCCCAGGTTGACCTAGGCTAAATATGGAAATTCTTCTGATAAGGGTCCTAAAACTCCTTTTCTCCAAACTTATAGAAGTATGTGTCTTGGGCCGGGCGCGGTGGCTCACGCCTGTAATCCCAGCACTTTGGGAGGCCGAGGCGGGTGGATCATGAGGTCAAGAGATCGAGACCATCCTGGTCAACATGGTGAAACCCCGTCTCTACTAAAAATACAAAAAATTAGCTGGGCATGGTGGCACATGCCTGTAATCCCAGCTACTCAGGAGGCTGAGGCAGGAGAATTGCCTGAACCCAGGAGGCGGAGGTTGCGGTGAGCCGAGATCGCGCCATTGCGCTCCAGCCTGGGTAACAAAAACCAACCACCCCCCTCTTAAAAAAAAAAAAAAAAAAAAGAAGTATGTGTCTTATATTACTTAAGCAATAAGAATACTGTCCTATTTCCTTGTGGAAAGAACCAGGGACAGTAATGAGGCATAATAAAACTGAAATATTTTTGCTGAGTAGTTAGACAAGGTTGGAAGGTTTCAGGAATTTATATCTGCCATAGTTGCTGCAAGGATCTTTCCTCTATCTCTTGTCTGGCTGCTAAGGAGCTTTGATTGCAGGTAACAGAAGCCAACTTTACTAACTGTAAGCAAAAATTATTTATTCTAAAGATATAGCAGCTTACAGAATCAAAAGAAAAGCTGAATACTCAGGCTTCAGGAAGTTGGTACATCAGCTTTTACTGTTACAACCACCTCAAAATTTAGTACCTGAAGAAAAATAAGCTACCATTTGTTTAGCTTATGATTCTGCAGATCAGCTATCTGGTCGTTGCTTGAGTATTCCCCTATCTGTGCTAGGCTCAGCTGACCTCCTCAGGGGCTTGCTCTTGGGTCTGCCTCAGTTGTCTTGATTCTCCATATGGTCATTTATCCCCTGGAAGGTCATTACATTATGGTCTTGGAGTTCCAAGTATAGCAAAAGAAGGCAAGCTCCAATGCACAAGTGCTTTTCTAGTCTCTGCTTGAGATATTTAATGTCGACTAAAGCAAATCACATAGCCACGCTTGGAGTCAGAGTGGGAGGGAGCTGTCCAAGAACACAGACAGAAAAGGAGGAAGAATCTGTGGCCATTTTTGGTGTCTCCCATAGGTGTCCAGGAACCTCGGCAGCTTTAAGACTCAAGTCAGCAAGAACTAAGGTGAAGGCTTTCTAGGGTGCCTCCATCTGAATAACTAAGCCCCAGCTATATTCCTGCCCTTAAGCCAGTCCATTCAAGATTTCCAAAAAGAGCCTCACTGTGCTTGAATCACATGCATCATGGATGGTGCACCTTGGTTGACAATTGGTGAAGACTTGAACAAGAAGGGGAAGTCCCCAAAAGGACAGTAGTGAAGTTGTTACCCAGAGTAGTGTGGATGGATGCAGAGAAGGCAATACAATATTCCTTCTCTCTGTATTGTTCACTATATTGACTTTGTTCTTTCTGTCTGAACCATGTGGGTTTAAGAATTTATTAAAGGCAAAAGTAATAATCTCAGCCTATTATGAACAACAGAAGATTTCAAATATTCAACTCAAAAGATAACTTGTTATAAAGCTAGTGGTGCTATTAGTCCATTCTCATGCTGCTATAAAGAACTGCCTAAGACTGGGTGATTTGTAAAGGAAAGAGGTTTAATTGACTCACAGTTCTGCAGGGCTGGGAAGGCCTCAGGAACTTACAAACATGATGGAAAGGGAAGCAAACACGTCCTTCCTCACATGGTGGCAGGAAGGAGAAGTGCCAAACCAAGTGGACAAAACCCTTATAAAACCATTAGATCTCATGAGAACTCACTATTATGAGAACAGCATGGGGGTAATTGTCCCCATCATTCAATTACGTCCCACGGGGTCCCTCCCATGACAAGAGGGGATTATGGGAACTATAATTCAAGATGAGATTTGAGTGGGGACACAGCCAAATCATATAACCTGGCATGGGTCAAGATCTCACCAACATCTCCTCTTTCTGTCATTGCTATATATTTATTGGCTACCAAGTGTACAGCCAAGAAAGGGACTGGACTGGTGTTCTGATGTGAGAGCACATGATCCTTGTCCCTGGCCGCAACTCCAGCAGTTATTTGTTTAAATCAGTTTTATACGTTATGCAGAATTGGAATGCTGCTTTTAAGACTTTCTAGAAATAAAGAATGGATGGCAGTAAAGTTGACGTTTAGCTGAAGTCCAGGCAACAGGGAAAGCCAAGATAGTCTGTTACCATTGTCACCAGGGAGCTAGAGCATTTAAGATTGAATTATTGCCCAAATAATAGAAGGGTTGAAAGGAATAACAGATCCTTCATATTTGCCAAAATGCTTTTCCCTTTGGACTGACAACCAGGGCCATTTTTATGGTTATAATAGCCTGCTTTTACAAAGGACAGGGAAGAGGTGATATATGTGTGTGTGTGTGTGTGTGTGTGTGTGTGTACCCATGCCTAGTACACTAAGCATTTTCTCCAAATGTTTGACTAAGTTTCTATAAAGATTTAATCATGAGTCTCTAATATATTTGGAATAAATTTATTAGTTTATTAGTTAATTGATTAGTTTATTCTAATAAAATAATTAAACTAGGCTAATAAATTTATTAGTTTACTCTAATAAATATCCAAATATACTAGGTGTTTTAATGTTTTCTAACACATAATAAATAAAAGGTAGAAACATTGAAAAGATGGGTTAAAAAATGAACAAAAATAGAAGTTGTAAAATACTTTCTTTCCACACCCCAGTGGATCAACTGAATATCTTTTTAAGTCTACTCTTCCACTTTGGGGACTGCTTGTCTAGACTGCTAAAACATTTTACACCTGCCCAACAGTTACAAAGACATTTTTCAGTACCAGAGGGATAATAGAAAGTTGAACATTCTGATTTGATCACACTGTATTCATGACTTAATACTTCCTTTATGTGGTGAATCCCTGTACTTCTTTGGTATATCCGTAATGGCTTTATGAATGTATATGTCTTCATACCTGAAGTGCAGACTTTCATATTTCTTGTAGTTCTCAAGCCTTTGAAGTTTACCTCTGCGATAATTACGAAAAAGTTTGGATTATTGGAAATCATAACCTGCAACAAACATATTCTTTCTTTCTCCAATTCCTTTCTTCATTCTTCCTGCCTCCTTTCCTTTTTTCTCTTTGGATTGATAGCTAAGATAACTTCAAAGGCATTTTCCCTCCCTACTTCCTCCTATCCTGTTTTTTGCTGCTTTAAGAATTTTGAAATGAGAATAATATATACATATTTGTTTCTTCTTGTGAGAACTAACATTTATTGAGCTATGGGCCAGGATATGCTGGGAATTAGTGTTTTCCTCTTTTCCTAAGAAATTATCTTAACTTGATGTGCTTACACTTTTACAAATTGCATCTACCATCAGTCTATAAGGATGTTCTCTTTGATCTTGGTAACTAAAAGAAAGTTAGACAAGTACCGAAATGAAATCAAATTACCAACTCCAAATCCAATTGAAAAGACAGGCCTACTGCATACATGAGCTATTTGGTTATTTTGTTGTCAGTGTCATTGCTAGAAATTCCACATAAAGAATAATGAGCTTTGGGTAATACAAGAGAAAGGGATCATCTGTAGTGATCCTTTCAGTTTCCGGTAATTGCCCCTAACCTTCCTGTGGGTGATGCTGGCCAGCTGACTGTACCCTCACCCCCAACGGACTTCTTGAATTTCTCCTGGAAATGATACTATAGCACAGCAAAGGTAACAAACAGAAGATAGATGTGATACAGATTCAGAATGTATCTTCTTCTAATTCCCAGCACATATGTACATAAGCATTTACAGTAACATGCAGGAGATCTCAGCTCTCTTTCTTTGCCCATACCACCAGCCCCTGACCAAAGTTGCAGAACCCCCAACTTTAGTGAGGCAGAAACTCTCATCACTAAAGTTCAAAATGATCAGACTTGGAATCTGGTAGAATGGCATTATCATAACTGTTTCAGGACTGTGAAGGGCATGACATTGCTGTGTGTGCTTAAAGTATGTTTGCCCATGAGGCCAGCACATTTCTGAGAAGGTGAGACTAGACAGACTCCCAATCTCCACCCTCAGAATAAGTAAGCATGGGTCTGTGCCCATATGATGGAATATAAAAGTATCATATATGAAGTGGCTGATGAGTACCAGCTCTTCAGGGGCATTACTGATTGGTAGAATGATAGTGCTGGCTAAAAGTATACCCATATATTGAAGGAAGCAGTGAGGGAGATAACAGAGCTGTTGGTAAGACTGAAATCTCAAGGTTTATTATTTCATTTGGTCACTTGACATTCTCTCTAAGGCATAGCTTGACTTTCTGTTATTCACCAACATAACCAGGAGGATAATCAAGACTCTGTCCTTGTATATTCCTGTTGGGTCTTTCCTGCAGACCCTGGCCTACGGATGGATGAAATGAGTAATCAGACACAGGTATGCAGTGCAAGAGTAGCTAGGGGACTGGCCGGCTCCAGCAGCCATAAGAGCACCTAGGAGACTGCCGGGCTCTAGTGGCCAAAATGCAGTGCTGAGAAGCTGGAGCTGCTTGCTTTTATTCAGTGCAGGCACAATGCCGAAAATGTGGAGCCACAACACAACCTGCAGGTAATTAACATTTATTGTTCCCCTTTCAGGGAAAGTCATGTGCATGGATGATCAAAGGTCAGTTCCCAGTCAGCATAAGTAAACAAGCCTGTTAAAATAATTCCCCCACATTCCCTTGTACCTACTCCTTGCCCTCTGCCTCAGGGTTATAGAACAGCTGCCTTCAGCTATTCTATAACCTCCTGACCTTTCAGAAAGTTTGTGTCCTTCCCCTACAGTTTTTCCCACCACTCTGACCAATCAGTCCCCCCTTATCTTTTATAAATCTGGTCCTTTTTCCTGTCTTCTAACTGTTGCAGCAGCTTCTTCCTTGGCAATTGCAGGATCTGGGAATCATCTTACAAAGCCTGAAACTGATTTTACTTGCTTACCCAAGAGTCATGAAGACGAGAAATGGATATCTGACCAAATGTAACATCAGGGTTCAGTCCCCTCTAATTCCACTTTAGGGTATACTGATACAGCCTGGCTCTTCACTAAAGTCCAAGAATCCAATTGTTCCCAACCCCTTAAGGGTCCAGAGGTTTATTGGATCTTACAAGCATCCTGCGTTGTTGCTGGGGTGTGTTCACACGTTGAGCAGGTGAAGAGTGAGGATGTGGAGGTGCATATGAATGAGACCTCTGTGGCAGAGGGCAGTCCCAAAGAGTCACCTGTCCTGGTCACAGTAAGAGCATGGACACTATAGTCCTGCCACTGCTTCTGGGGACTTACCCAGTGTTCCTCCAGCAAGTACTTTTCTTGGCTCCCAGCCCTGGCATAGGTATAAGAACTGAGCAGAAATCAATCAGAATGGAGACCACCTTTTTTCCCTTGCTTCTGTGATACATTATCTCTTATGGTAATCTTTACCATAAGGGAAGATTGTAACACAGAAGCAATGTAAGATGTAATGACTATGTAGTTCCCCTAAGTAGGTAATCTTTACCATAAGGGAGAGGTTAAAAGAGGACACCTTTTCACTTCTTTTCATATCATAGAGGTGTTTGATCGTCCATTCAACAGAGCTTCACAGCCCATCCAAAAGTCTGAGATTCCTCTGTTTACTTCTCTTTGGTGGGCTCATAAATACAGTCACGTGCCACATGACAACATTTCAGTCAACAATAGATCATGTATGTGACAGTGGTCCTGTATGACTATACTGCCATGTTTTTATCGTGCCTTTTCTATCTTTAGATATCTTTGGGTATGCAAATGCTTATAATTGCCTGCAATATTCAGTATAGTAACATGCTATACACGTTTGTGGGCTAGGAGTGATAGGTTACACCATATAGCCTAGGAGTATAGGAGGTTACACTATCTAGGTTTGTATAACTAAACTCTATGATGTTTCCACAATGAGGAAATCACCATCGATGATGCATTTCTCAGGACACATTCCTGTCATTAACCAACGAGGATATGCTCTACAGTTGAGAATGACTGTATTTGAGAATAGGAAGGAAACAGGTACTTTTTGCTATGGCAATATAAAATAAAACACAGCTTAGGGTCTCTGCAGGTCTCACTATCACTAGTTAAATCTTTTCAAGATACCTTGTTATATAAAATGTTAAGGAATTAATTTATAAAGCAGAATACTGATTTTTCAGTTTAACATAGATGCCAGAATCTATCCCTGACCTCAGTGTGTGACTTCTGCTGGAGAACTGGTGTTGGCCCTATCAGAAAACAGCAAGGTGTTGTCGTGGAGTCTCTGCCCAGCCTGAGTTGGTAAATGGAGCCCTTGTCTAAGACAACCTGAGAAACTGATATCAGAAAGGCACATTGAGGCAGGGAGTCAATAAGCCAGTTCAGTCACAGTTGGTTGTTAGAGGAAGAGGCCAAAAGTAGGGATCCAAAGGTAGAGTGTTGGGGAAGGCATGGGGAAGTGGGCAATGGCAAAACAGAGGCAGAAGTGTAGAACCATAGAGAAAAGGTATTCTTGATCACCACATGAGGCTACACTCCACCAACATGGAATAAACTGGGGACAGTCCTGGACCATTCAATAAACTTGAAGTCTGATGCTTGCTTTTCTGAGCAAAAAAACGGAAAGCTGGAATGTGTTGGGTCAGCCTGCCCTAATAGCAGGGAGGGAGTTGGCAGGGCAGGCTGGACCAGTCATTTGAAGAAGGCATGCAGCACTGCTTTATTATCACCTTAGTAAGTAACAATGAGAATGTGGTGTCCTGATAAAGATTCTGCTAAGTAGCGGTAAGTGGTAGTTTGATGAACTGGCTTCTTCACTTTGGGGCTATCTCTGACCCGGTACTTTACTAGCATCGAAGTATCCTCTGTCCCGGACAATGCTGAGACAGATGAATACACTCATTCTCTGGCTGTCCTTTTTATCATTAGTATTTTGTAATGACTAAATAGGTCCCAGCGTAGACTCATCCTCTGGTTCTCCTTTTTATCAGAGTATTTTGTGCTGACTAGGTAGGACCCAGTGTATTTTACGCACGTTAGAAGCTCCCTTGATAAGCTTCAGATGACTAACTTCCTCCTCTCACCCTATATATTTACACATCAGTCCATGACATCTCTTGACCTTTTGCCCAAAGACTTCTCTATGCAAATAGATTTATTCCTTATTTAATTAACTTCTTTTCCCTATTGAAAAATGTTCCTAAGAAGTTGTGTCAAGACAACTCTTGCCAATCTCAAAAAGTAATGGGAAAAATTAACCAGATTTTAGCTGAACAAACAAGCATTAAGGAAATACTTGAGATACTAAAAATTAAAAGCAGGACTTGACTTCCAATCTCGTCTTGGTCAGTTTTCTTAAAATTGCTGACCTCAGGCTTCTCTGTAAAATGCAGAAGTCAAATTTTACTGTTTAAAAAATCTCTCCAAGCCCAAAAATTCCTTGTTCCTCTTTTCACTTAACAAATTGCAGGGTGCAGTGGCTCACGCCTGTAATCCCAGCACTTTGGGAGGCCGAGGTGGGTGGATCACCTGAGGTCAAGAGTTTGAGACCAGCCTGGCCAACATGGTGAAACCCTGTCTCTACTAAAAATACAAAAAATTAATCTGGGCATGGTGATGTGTACCTGTAATCCCAGCTACTCGGGAGGCTGAGGCAGGAGAATTGCTTGAATCTGGAAGGCGGAGGTTGCAGTGAGCCAAGACTGAGCCATTGCACTCCAGCCTGGGCAATAAGAATGGAACGCCATCTCAAAAATAAATAAGTAAATAAAAACAAATTACTCCATAAATATGAAATGGCTGTTGTGTATCTGTGGCTGGTTACACAGTTTCAAGTATAGGCATACCTCAGAGATACCATAAGTTTCAGACCACTGCAATAAAGCAAGTATTGTGATAAAGCAAGTCACACATTTTTTGGTTTCCTAGTACAGATCAAATGTATGCTTACACTATACTATCGTCTATTAGATGTACAACAGCATTAGGTCTAAACGATGTACATGCTTTGATTAAAAACATTTTATTGCTAAAAATGCTAATAATCCCTCGAGCCTTCAGCAAGTCATAGTCTTTTTCTGGTGAACAGCCTTGCCTCAGGGTGGTGGTGGCTGCTGAGGGTTGGCATGGCCGTGACAATTTCTTGAAGTAAGACAACAATGATGTGGCCACATCAGTTGACCCTTTCATGAAAGATTTGTAGGTGGTATATGATGCTATTTGATAACATGTAACACACAGTAGAACATCTTTCAAAATTGAAATCAATCTTCTCAAGTCCTGCTGCTGCCTTATCAACTAAGTTTATGTAATATTCCTTTTTAAAATAGCTTCAATCTTATTTCATTTTTTTAAGACAAAGTCTCACTCTGTTACCCAGGCTGGAGTGCAGTAGTGCGATCTTGGCTCACTGCAACCTTCACCTCCTGGGTTCAAGGGATTCTCCTGCCTCAGCCTCCCTAGTAGCTGGGACTACAGGCACCCACCACCACCAGCTAAATTCTTGTATTTTTAGTAGAGATGAGGTTTTGCCGTGTTGGCCAGGCTGCTGTCGAACTTCTGACCTCAGATAATCCCCCCAGCTTGGCTTCCCAAAAGGCTGGGGTTACAGGCGTGAGCCACCGTGCCCGGCCTCAACTCTTACTTGAGATTCAGCAGGTACGTGTGCAGGTTTGTTACATGGGCATATTACATGACATGGAAGTTTGGGATATGAATGATCCTGTCACCCAAGTAATAAGCATAGTAGCCAATCTGTATAGTTTTTTAGCCCCAGTTTATGTAATATGCTAAACTCTTTGCTGTCATTTCAACAGTGTTCACAGCAGCTTTACCAGGAGTAGATTCCATCTCAGGAAAATATTTTCTCATCCATAAGATGCAACTCCTCACCCATTAAAGTTTTGTCATGAGGCCGGTTGCAGTGGATCACGCATATAATCTGAGCAGTTAGGCAAAGGCGGAAGGACAGCTTGATCCCAGGAGTTTGATACCAGCCTGAGAGACATAGTGAGACCCCATTCTCCACAAAAATGGGGGAAAAAAAAAGACCCAAAAAGTTTTATGCTAATACAGCAATTCAGTCATATCTTCAGGTTTCACTTCTAGTTCTTTCGCTGTTTCCACCGCATCTGCAGCTATTTCCTCCACTGAACTTTTGAACTCCTCAAAGTCATCCACAAGGCTTGGAATCAACTTTTACAAATTCCTGTAGATGTTAACTTCTCTCATGAATGACAGATGTTTGTAACGTCATCTAAAATGATGAATCCTTTCCAGGAGGTTGTCAATTTACCTTGCCCCAATCCATCAGAAGAATTACTATCTATAGCAGCCTTACAAAATGTATGTCTTAAATAACAAGGTTTGAAAGTCAACATTACTCCTTGATCCATGGGATATAGAATAGATGTTGTGTTCCATGGATACGGGCATGAAAACAACATTAATCTCCTTGTACATCTCTATCAGTGCTCTTGGGTGGCCAGGTGCATTGTCAGGGTATAGGAATATTTTGGAAGGAACCACTTTTTTTCTGAGCAGTAGGTCTCAACCTAGGCTTATAATATTCAGTAAACTATGCTGTAAACAGATGCATTGTCATCCAGGCTTTGTTGTTCCATTTATAGAGCATAAGCAAATCAGATTTGCATAATTTCCTTTTTTTTTTTTTTTTTTTTTTTTTTGAGATGAAGTCTCGCTCTGTTGCCAGGCTGGAGTGTAGTGGTGTGATCTTGGCTCACTGCAGTCTCCCAACTGCCTGGTTCAAGCAATTCTTCTGCCTCAGCCTCCAGAGTAGCTGGGATCACAGGCACCTACCACCATGCCCAGCTGATTTTTATACTTTCAGTAGAGATGAGTTTCACCATGTTGGCTGGGATGGTCTCGATCTCCTGACCCCCATGATCCGCCCACCTCAGCCTCCCAAAGTGCGGGGATTCCAGGTGTAAGCCATTGCGACCAGCCTGATTTGCATAATTCTTAAGGGTTCTAAGATTTTTGGAATGGTAAATGAGCGTTGGCTTCAACTTAAAGTCACCAGCCGCATTAGCCACTAACAAGAGTCAGCCTGTCCTTTGAAGTTTTGAAGCCAGACATTGACTTTTCTCTAGCTATTAACATCCTAGATGGCATCTTCTTCCAGTAAAAGGCTGTTTTATCTTCAGTGAAAATCTGTTGCTTAGTGTAGCCACCTTCATCAGTTATCTTAGGTAAATCTTTTGGATAACATGTTGCAACGTCTACATCAGCACTTGCTGTTTAACCCACTGCTTTTATGTTTTGGAGATTGCTTATTTCCTTAAACCTTATGAACCAACCTCTGCTAGCTGTATTATAATTTTTTTTTCTCTCTGCAATTTCCTTACTTCTTTCCACCTTCATAGAATTGATGAGAGTTAGGGCCTTCCTCTGAATTCAGCTCTGGCTGAAGGGAATGTTGTCACTGGTTTGATCCTCTATCCAGACCACTAAAACTTTCTCCATACCATCAATCAAGCTGTTTCACTTTCTTATCATTCATGTGTTCACTGGAGTGGCACTTTTAATTTCCTTTAAAAAGTTTTCCTTTGCATTGACAACTCGGTTAACTGGCATGGAAGGCCTAGCCTTTGACCTATCTCAGCTTTTGACATACCTTCTTCACTAAACATACTCATCTCTCACTTTTGATTGAAAGAGTCATGTAACTCTTCATTTGAATACGTAGAGGCCACAGTGGGATTATTAATTGGCCTAATTTCAACATTGTTGTGTCTCAGGGAATAAGGAGGGCTGAAGACAGGGAGAGAGATAGGGGGATGACCAGACTGGAGCAGCCCACAACACACATATTTATTCATTAAGTTCACCATCTTATATGTGTTCCAAAACAATTACAATAGTATCATCAAAGCTCATGGATTGCTATAACAGATATAATTACAGTGAAAATGTTTGAAATACTTTGAGAATTACCAAAATGTGACCCAGAGATGGAGTGAGCACATGCTGCTGGAAACATGGTACTGACAGACTTTGGGTTGCCATAAATCTTCTATTCCTAAAAACTGCAGTATCTGTGAAGTACAGTAAAAAGCAGTACAAAAAGACGAGGTGTGCCTTTATATAGTGTTATGTAACAGTCACTGCTATTCCACGTTTAGAAACCTGCAGTGATCTTAGAACATGTGTTCTTGTCACTCCTAATAAATTCCAATGAACATTTATCAATAAGTGTTTTGTATTTGTCATTGCATTAACAAATTAGGTTAACAAATAGGGGAAAGAAGACAGTAGAGTCTCTATGTTCAAAACATAGACAATTTTCCTCCCATAGTTCTTAGTTTTTATTCAGTTTTAGTGGCTCTGACTGCTACTGAAATCACTATTTAATTGACTCTTTTAGGAACTTGAAATAGATTGTGGCCTAACGTTAGAAGAACCCACCACTTCTCTTTAGTTTGCATCAGTAAAGGCACTAGGAACCTCATAGGTACTGGGAATATTCCCTGTGGTATAGAATGAGAACCTAATCCTTACACATGGCTTCTGTTTGGCAGCAGCCCAACTCATAAGAAAAACAATTTGTTCTTTCACATCAGGCTGGAATACAAAGAAAAACAGAAAAACAATTTGGAGGTAGCCAGTGGAAGAGATAGTAATTAAAATAATGCTGGAGTTTGGGTTTCAGTTTTATTTTAATAAACCAGTAAATTGAATTTTGGAGAAGAATTGGCTTTGAGCTCAATATACTTGGCTTTTGCCTACTTCTTTTTGGAGAAATTTGCCAGCTTTATCCCCTTTCACTGTTTCCCAACCCAGTCACAAGTCATAATTGTCTTGGAAAAGATCTAACTGCCGCTTTCTTAATACAGACTACAGCAAAGCAGTTTGTTTCCTTCCTCTAAGGTTAATTAGTAGTAATAATAAAGATATGTTTTGAACTTTTATTATAATGCTATGTTGCTTTATTTTGTAAGCAACATCACAATTTCTGAAAAAAGAGTACAGATTTAGAATTTTTTAAATCACCCCTTCTCCCATGAGACATTTGTTTTCTTATCAAAACATTATGAGATGATTATATTCCAAAGCTTTCTGATACATACATACTTTCTATAATGACACATTATCATTCCAGTAGTAGTAGTAAGAACAGCCTACATCTGCTGAGCATTTATCATTTGCTTGTCTGGTAGAATTTAATATTTCTCTAATTTAATATACAGGAAAACTGAGATACAGGGAAATTTAAGACTTGCCTAGAGTCACATATCTAAAAAGCTGCGGGCATGAAATTGAAATCCAGGCAATTTGACTGCAGATTTTATTTCCAAACCAAGTTAGTTTAAATCATACCAAGTCCTAAGCAGTTTTGAAGCATTAGAGTTATAATACAAACTAAATGAACATCTTTAAATTTGAAGGGAAATGTTTGATTTCAATTAATTTGAATTTCTTGTTATTCACTCAACAATATATCCTAGTCACCTTGGGTGGGAATTAACATGCATCAAGAGCATCATCTTGACAGCTACATGGAATTTCATTTTAAGGGTATAACAACTGATATAACGAGTCTCCCATTGTTGGGCGTTCAGGTTTTTTCAACTTTTTTTGTCATAGAAATGTTGCTACAATAAACATCCTTTTTTTTTTTTTTTTTTTTTTTGAGACAGAGTTTCGCTCTTGTGACCCAGGCTGGTGTGCAATGGCGCGATCTCGGCTCACCGCAACCTCCGCCTCCTGGGTTCAGGCAATTCTTCTGCCTCAGCCTCCTGAGTAGCTGGGATTACAGGCACGCGCCACCATGCCCAGCTAGTTTTTGTATTTTTAGTAGAGACGGGGTTTCACCATGCTGATCAGGATGGTCTCGAGCTCTTGACCTCGTGATCCACCCGCCTCGGCCTCCCAAAGTGCTGGGATGTTATTTCTTTAGAATAAACTCTTAGAATTTATTTCTTACAATTCTTAACATTTTAAAAAAATAAATTATAGAAAAACAAAATCTCAATTTCAGAAATTTTACCTATGCCCTGCTACCATCCCAGAGAATAGGTTTTAAAAATACATGTAATTATGGGACATGAATCTGCCAAAGGAAAGATAATTTGGTAACAAAGTCTTTTGATATTTTTTGATGGCTGTCAAAAAGAAAATAGAATCTCTAGAAATTAATTGAATTCAAACATTTCCCTTCAAATTTAAAGATGTTCATTTAGTTTGTATTATAACTCTAATGCTTCAAAACCGTTGGTATGATTTAAACTAAGTTGGTTTGAAAAGGAATTTATTTTAAGAAAATGATCTTCAATAGGGACAAAGGCCTTTTTTTATCTTTGCATTTTTGGCTTAGGAGAAGATGAGAAAGGCTATTTTGAGGACAAGATTCCCAACAGAAGGGAATCCTTTGGCAGCAAGTGTAAACAGCTTTGGCAGAAAGCCACCCTCCAAAGAAAAAGGACTTCAGCTTGTTTTAAACAAGGGAGTGAGCTCCAGAACAAAAAGGGTAACCCTGATGCAGGGGGTGGGCCAATAGGGATTGTTTGGGTGGAAACACTATTACAACGGCTGTCTAGAGCTGCCTCATTAGAAATTGATGAGTTTTGAGATGTTCCCCTTTCCCAGTACTCTAGACAGGATCAATTCCAAGGAAGTGATGATATTTTACTCAGGTCCACAATGTTCCTTTTACCCTTTGTTACCTAAATGATAAATAAAATATAAATACTATAAGTGTAGGTTGTTTCCTGACCATTTTCCCTTTGTTTTTCAGAAAATAAATCATTTACACATCTACAAAACTGGATTTATGTTTAATTTGAAGGGGATTCACTTCTTTAATTTTAAAATGCTTTAGAATCCTGTTTTATTACTGTATATATAGAAAATGCTTTTTGCTCATTATGTTTCTGGGGTGGGTGTGGATATGTGTATATGCATACTCATGTTTAGCCTTACATTTTCTTTTTTCTTTTTCTTTTTTTTTTTTTTTTTTGAGAGGAAGTCTCACTCTGTCACCTAGGCTAGATACAGTGGCACCATCTTGGCTCACTGCAACCTCCACCTCCCCAGTTCAAGTGATTCTCCTGCCTCAGCCTCCCAAGTAGTTGGGATTACAGGCTTCTGCCACCATGTCTGGCTCATTTTTGTATTTTTAGTAGAGACAGGGTTTCTCCGTCTTGACCAGGCTGGTCTCAAACTCCTGACCTAAAGTGATCCACCCACCTTAGACTCCCAAAGTGCTGGGATTACAGGCATGAGCCACCGTGCCCAGCCTAATCTACATTTTTGAACTGTTGTTTTCAGTTGAGAGAATTGCTATCTGTTTGAATAAATTACTTGAAAAGACGGATGACAAGCCAGCATCCCATCCTTGTATAATTACACGTGCAATTATGTGTGGCCTTGGTGATTGGTGTGGTTGGATATGACATGCATGAAGGTGTAGTGAGGTGGTCAAAAACTCAGTCATTTGAGAATCCATTTCCCTTTGATTCCAAACAACTGGCCATAGAAACAGTGGGTGAGATGGTAGCAGAGATCCCCATACACATTCCTGCAGAGACATAGTGAATGGAAGAGCTACTCTGAAGCAGAGTGTCTTTCCTCACTTATTTAATCAAAAAGACCTTTACGGAGTACCTACTATATGCACACGTTTGTTGTCTGTGCTGTTCCTTCATCAGAATTCATTCCTCCTTGCTAAAAGCTTCATTTCCCCTCCCTTCTTACAGCCCCAGCAGATATCCATGGTCCTTAGGTTACTGAAAAGGTTAGATCTTTCCCTCTTCAAACCCAAGTCCTCTATCTCCTTCTTTGAAGGCCCTGCTGAAGTGGAGTTTTATTTGTAGTAACCTTTCTATCATAAAAAATTTCAAGATGGAAAAATATTTTAGAAAAAAAAAGAAGAGATTATATCATGGGCATTTCCTCATGATACTGCATACTTGTAGACATTTTAGTGGGTGGGTTTTAGTTCATTGCAGGCTTCAATTTCTTAACAGTCACCCAATTGTTGAATGTTTAAAAATTTAAAACATTTTTCCCCTATTATAAATAATGCTAAATGGACATCTCCGTTCTTCAAACTTGGTTAATAATTTTATTAGGGTAGAATTACTAAGTCATTGTTTATGAACATGTGTAGTAAGATCCTTAATATAAATTGCCCACTCTCTTTTCAGAGCATCTCTTGCAACTTACGGTTTCGTTAAGGGTCCACTTAGTGTTCTGTTATGGCACCCTTGCTCTCACTGAGCACTAAAATCTTTCCAAATCTTCACTGATTTTTTTCTGTTTAATTTTCATTTTTCTTACTACTAGTGAGATTGGATTTTTTTTGCATACTTACTAGACATTTTTTAGTTTCTCTTTCAATGAGTTGTCTATTTATGTTCTTTGCTCAGACTTCTATTGGGGTTTTTGTGTTTTTCTTATTCACATGTATGAACTTACTGAATATTAAGAAGGTTAGGCCGAGTGTGGTGGCTCATGCCTGTAATCCCAGCACTTTGGGAGGCTGAGGCAAGTGGATCACCTGAGGTCAGGAGTTTGAGACCAGCCTGACCAACATGGAGAAAACCCGTTTCTATTTAAAAAAATAAAAAATATATATATATGAAAAAAATGTTAGCCGTTTGTCTTTAACATTTATTCATTATGTTTAGGCTAAAATCTCTCCAAGAATATTATTTGTAATCATATTATCACTTACAGAAGATAACATTTTTTTTTCAATGAGATGAGCTTGTATCATTTTATATAGGAGATGGTTTTCAATGTTTAAAAATTAAGAATACATACCTTAGAGCTAAGTACAGAAAACATCTATTCCAAAAGCCTTATAAAATAAGGGAGAGTATATAGTTAAATTGCAAGAGACCTTGGCACTACCAGCCAATACTTCTGTATTGATATAGCCATTGTGTTCTTATTGCACTTAATTCGATGGTTCCTCTGGTGGGCTCAATATAAAAATGTGTGATCTGTGCCCAGACTATGCAGTTGAAACAGGTAATGAGCTGCTTTGGAATGTACTGGATTCCAGATAAAATTCTAGTAATCCTCATTCCCATACTTCAGTTTTCCTTACCTCTAGAGCCCCTGAACTGTGTGGCTCATATGTTCTCCTTTTCCTTTTAGACAATTCCTCCTCAATCCAGGAAGATGAAGAAGTAGAGATGGAGGCCATCAGCTGGCAGGCCAGCAGTCCAGCTATGAATGGGCACCCTGCCCCTCCAGTGACCTCTGCTCGTTTCCCCAGCTGGGTCACCTTTGATGACAATGAAGTCAGCTGCCCTTTACCTCCAATCACCTCTCCTCTGAAGCCAAATACACCACCAGTTGCATCTGTGATCCCAAATACATCTTATAATTCAACAGGATCATTTAAAAAGAGGGACCGTCCCAAGAGCACTTTGATGAACTTCTCCAAAGTTCAGAAGCTCGATATTCCCTCTTTAAACCAACCGCCTTCTGTAACCGAGGCTCCACCGTGGAGGCCAACCAACCCTTTCCTGAATGAGACTCTGCAGGATGTACAGCCCTCCCCTATCAACCCTTTCAGTGCTTTCTTTGAGGAGCAGGAAAGGCGCTCCCAAAACAGTTCCATTTCCAGCACCAAGGGCAAAAGCCAAAGAGATTCCCTCATTGTCATCTATCAGGATGCCATCAGTTTTGATGATTCAAGCAAAACCCAGTCACACTCTGACGCTGTTGAAAAACTCAAACAACTCCAAATTGATGATCCTGATCACTTTGGCAGTGCAGCTTTACCTGATGATGACCCAGTAGCCTGGATTGAACTAGATGCTCACCCGCCTGGATCAGCACGGTCCCAGCCAAGGGATGGATGGCCAATGATGCTGAGGATCCCCGAGAAGAAAAACATCATGTCCTCCCGGCACTGGGGACCGATCTACGTCAAACTGACAGACAGTGGTTACCTGCAGCTATATTATGAGCAGGGCCTAGAGAAACCATTCCGTGAGTTCAAGCTGGAGATGTGTCATGAGATTTCAGAACCCCGGCTTCAAAACTATGATGAGAATGGCAGAATCCACAGCTTGCGGATAGACCGTGTCACCTATAAGGAGAAGAAGAAATACCAGCCCAAACCTGCTGTGGCCCACACAGCAGAGAGGGAACAGGTGATTAAGCTGGGCACCACCAATTACGATGACTTCCTGAGCTTCATCCGTGCAGTTCAGGACCGTCTCATGGATCTCCCAGTGTTGTCAATGGACTTGAGCACAGTTGGCCTGAACTACCTTGAAGAGGAGATCACAGTGGACGTCAGAGATGAATTCTCTGGCATTGTGAGCAAAGGAGACAACCAGATTCTCCAGCACCACGTCTTGACGCGGATCCACATCCTGAGTTTTCTGTCTGGGCTCGCAGAGTGCCGCCTGGGCCTCAATGACATCCTCATCAAAGGGAATGAAATCGTGTTGAGGCAGGACATCATGCCCACCACCACCACAAAGTGGATCAAGCTCCATGAGTGCCGCTTCCATGGGTGCGTGGACGAGGGCGTATTCCACAACTCACGGGTCATTCTGTTCAACCCTTTGGATGCATGTCGGTTTGAGCTAATGCGGTTCAGGACAGTGTTTGCCGAGAAGACCTTGCCTTTCACACTCAGGACGGCCGCAAGTGTGAATGGGGCGGAGGTGGAGGTGCAGAGCTGGCTGAGGATGTCAACTGGCTTCTCCTCCAATCGTGACCCCCTCACTCAGGTTCCCTGTGAGAATGTGATGATCCGTTACCCTGTGCCCAGCGAGTGGGTGAAAAACTTCCGCAGGGAAAGTGTCCTGGGGGAAAAGTCTTTGAAAGCCAAAGTGAACCGGGGGGCAAGTTTTGGCTCCACTAGTGTTTCTGGCTCTGAGCCTGTCATGAGAGTAACTCTGGGAACTGCCAAGTACGAGCATGCCTTCAACTCCATTGTGTGGAGGATAAACCGACTGCCCGACAAAAACTCAGGTGGGTGGGGGTTCCTCTTCTGTAAAAACAAGTACCAGCACACGTTGTGAAAAAGCTGAGATCCCAGTTCCACATCCTGTATGAAGTGCTTGTTTTTGTTGTGTGATGGGAGTGGTGATGGAGGGGGAGTGGGACCAGAAAAGTAAAAATAATTAAGCAAGGTAAGTAATGTGCCTAGCAGCCCAGTTCACTCTTTTCACCCCCTCATTATCACACATCTTCTGTAAAACCAGGGATTATTCTTCTCAGCTGAGCTGCTAAGCAGCTTTGCAGGGCAGCTTCTGAATTTATATTCTTTTGGGACTCATTAACGTATTACCAGTGGTGCTGGAAGTGATTCATTTCTAGATGGCTTCTGAAGAGACATCTTTCTCACACTGCCCTCGATGTAGGTAAAAGCACCAGTCATGGACAAGACACTGAGAAGTTAATTTTATAACTCCAGCTCCTCTGTGCAAAGCCTGTCCATCATAATATCTCAAGCTCAGAGTTTGGCTCTGGGACTTCGGGGATGGGAAAGAAAAGTGGCCTGCAGGCAGACTGAAGATCCAGCTAGGATATGAATTTCTAAAAGGGCCAGAATGGCAGCCAACGTATAAAGAAAAGAATGTTTTCTTTAGACAACAAAAAATGCTTATCAGCCCTTGCTGGGCTGCTCACAGCTATCAGGGATGCTTTTGTGCTTGAGTGAGTCCAGACGGCGGTTATTTCCCCCGTGGGTCCAGTGAGATTTAGTGAAATGACAAAATGAAGGAGCACTCAAACCCGCACTAATAAGCATATTTCTTGGAGTAAGTCTGGGTGACTCCAATGGTAGGCAGCAAGCCCATGCGCTTGTAAGCCTTTAAATCCCTTTCTTTAGAATACATTTTGCCCATCAGTGAACAAAAGTGGATATGCTACCTGAGCAAAAAGAGTAAGGTTTAGAAAAACTCTTGATTGAAATGGCTTTATCTTATGTGTCTATCCTTTTGTCCATTCTCACTCTAAATCCTAGCAGATGCATTCAGAGTCTCCCTCTCCTGCTCTGAGTGTGGGGTGGCTGTATTATTATATCCTAAATGTAATGCAGTGTGATGGTAAACGGCAATATGATCCGGCCAGCTCCCCAGGCATTCCAGGGAGTGGACACACACCAGGGCGTTCTGTATCAGACACTGGGTGTAGCTGTGCAAACTGAAGAGACAATTGGACCTCTGTGTTTGAGGCTGGATTTGCTACTCCCTGCTTCTAAACTGACAACATTTTTTCAACCAAGTGTTCCTCTCTGTGCCTGCTTTTTCATTTCCCCTGCAATCAGCACTGTATTCTGCTGATGGTAGCACTGAAACTTCTACCTTATCCACGGGGCCCCTCTGACTTGACAGAGGAGGGGAGAAACCCTGAACTCTCCTTTGATGTGAAAGCCCTTGGAAAGAGACAACCATAGAATTAACAGATTTTCAAGCTGGAAGGGACCATGGGGATAACTTAGTCAAGTTATTTATAGATGAGAAACTTAAGATTGGGAAGGTGACGTGACATATCTAGAGTCATGCAGTCACATCCAGGGTCCTTTTCTCAATGCCACCAGTGCCTCCTGGTAGATAAAGCCAAGTAGACACAAATATTGAAATGAATCCCACCAGAAGAACAGATATTTGCAGTTTTTCCAGTGCATACAAATGTATCTATTAGTTTAAAAGTGATTTCTCCCAAACATTTAAAAGTACCGGATGAGGGCTTTTTGTTGTTTGTTTTACTATAGCAACAAAGACTTAATAACCGCCTTAAGGAACAAAACAAATTATTGGATGGGATAGTTCAGAGACCTGAGGGAAAGATTGATCAAGAAGACTTTAGAAAGATAAGGTGAGAATAGCTCTGGTCATGGAAACTAATGGATGTCTCCTCACTGTAGCCTTAGGGACAAATCATCACAGATTATTTTCTGTTCTTGGGTTTTGTTGTTGTTGTTTTGTTTTTGTTTTTGAGATGGAGTCTCGCTCTGTCACCCAGGCTGAAGTGCAATGGCGTGATCTCGGCCCACTGCAACTTCTACCTCCTGGGTCGAGCAACTCTCCTGCCTCAGCCTCCCAAGGAGCTGGGATTACAGGCACACGCCACCATACCCAGCTAAATTTTTGTATTTTTAATAGAGACAGGATGTCACCATGTTGGCCAGGCTGGTCTCAAACTCCTGACCTCAGGTATCTGCCTGCCTTGTACTCCCAAAGTGCTACAGGCCTGAGGCACCACACCTGGCCCTATTTTTTGTTCTTTGGCAACTTGGCTCAAGAGTGTAGGGGAAAGGAATGCATTTTGACTAACGTGACCAAGATAACATGTAGCACCGGGAAGATTATTTCCCAAAAGGAGAGAAAGAAAAGGACTGCTACCAGAAAAGAGGGGGAATGGACACAGGACAAGGGAAAAAGCAAAAACAGGCCTTCAGCAAACAATTTCCTTAATGATTCTCAGTGGAGAGTGTTCTGTTGGCTCAAGGACAAGTGAATGCAGCTTATATACTGTATTACGTATCTGTTTCCAGATTGCTGGAACCTCATTGTGGAAGATTTTTGAAATGTAGCACAACATAAGGATATTGGGGATGTTTCTTACTTAAATCCTCACAGCCTAACCCCATTATTGCTTTTGCTGTCATAGTTATTTAACAATATTTTCCATAGTGAACCCTCATAAAGAGGCTTCTTATACTTCTCTGGCCAACTATATGTTTTCATACCAGTTCGGGAAATAGATAGCACCCTTTTCTGGAAACTTGAGATGTATAGGATCTGAATTGCAGGCAGAACGTAAGTTCTCATGCATTGCTGGTATTCACCGTGCCCAGCTCCTGCCCTCCCTTGCAGTGCTCCATCCAGGAAACCAGAGCATTGATGGTTATCTTTTTGTAATAACCCTTTCCTAAGCTCTTCTGTCTAGGTGTTCAGACAGCCCTGGGAAGGTGCTTTGTACGGGTTATTTTTCATAATCCTTAACCTTTAAAGAAGCTAGGGCTCAGCTGAGGCCAAAGGCCCGGCTGACTGGAAGCCTACCTCTCCTTACAGGTTCCTGCCTGCAGTGGCCCTGCATTCCCAGGCCCCAGTGGGCAGGGCAGTCAAACCCCAGGCAGTGGAGGCTAGCAGCTCGCACCCCTGTGTTGCTGACATCCCAAGCCTATAGCCACAGCAGGCTGTCTCAGTCCCAGCCACCAAAAGCTCAAGCAGCTACCTTTGAATTCTAATGTGACCCCACTGGCGGGGTCCAGCCCAGCCACATACAGTAACAGCTCCCGTCTCTGAGCTCCCCAGGGACCCCTCCCACCCTCATCCCAGGAGTTTTTCTTAATCTTAGAAGGCACCAAAACAAGTCCCGCTGCTTCCACAGATTATCCGCCAGGAAATAAAACATTCTGTCCTATATAAATGGCTTTCTTTGCAGGAATCCCCCTCCTCATTAGACCAGGTGAAGGGAAAACAGTGCCAATATGATCATCATTATATAAGAAATTTTTAAAATCTGAATTTTTTTACTGAATTTTCTCAACCTCATCAAGGAAAATGACAGAACGCGTGGACTTATTTAGCACATTACTATGAATTCAACTATAATAGCTTTCAGACTTGAACTTCCTTAACTGTCCACCACCCCTACCCATCTGAGAGTTGATGCTAAGATTCTAGGAAAAAATGCTGTTTTCAGAATTTGCTGTGAATACACTTTGGTGGAATAAAAGGAGGAAATCAGCCATGCAGAAAGGAAAAATTTCTCCATATTCCAAAATGTGCAAAATCAGGGTAATTAGATTAAAAGAGTTGTCCGAGTTGCTATTAAATTAAAAGATGCTTCTGTATACTTTGTTTTGATCTTATTTCACAGCAATATACTGAGGAGAATTTAGGACATAGTTTGAAGGCAGAGTCATCTCTGAATCTTATTTCCGGCTCTACCACTTAATGGCTGTGTAACCTCAGGCAATTTACTTAACCCTCTCAGAGAAACCTAATTTTTCTCATCTATAAAATAGAGTTATTAATAGCTAGTTCATTGAGAATGAAATGAGATAATGCTTTTAAGGGCTTAGCACAATATCTGGCCTGTAATAAATGCCCCATAAATGATAGCTTATAATTACATCTGTGGCACACAATTTAAAAACATTGAATGGGTTTATTTTCAAATACTTTAATTTTTCCTATTATGTGTATCTTATTTAAATTCTTTTCCTAAAATCAGTGCAGATTTTTCAGTTTTCCAAAGCATTACTCTTTAGAAATAACCACTGAAATATGTTACATTTGTGAAACAGAGCAAAACAAATACTTCACTATCTAATGTTTTCCTTGGAGAGCGGGTGTGTGTGTCCTCACTCTCTGAGACTGAGAAGTCCCGGCCGGAGCAGTAAAGAACATTGGAATTGTTTGTTTGTGGAAACTAGGATAACTAAGGGGCTGTTTCAGTTACATAAGGAAGGCAAGCTCATTTTGTGTTGTTTATCTATAGCTAGTTGCTATATGGGGGTTCTTACAGCTCAGTCCCACTCTACCCCTGTCACTCTGCAAACTTGATCTTGTGTTTTAGGGACCATGAGGTTATGACTAAAATACAGCGGTTAAGAACACTCTGGGATCAGACCGTTAGGTTCAGTTTTTAGCTCTGCCACTTTCTAGCTGTGACCGTGGGTAGCTCATTTTACCTCCCTAATCCTTAGCTTCCTCGACTGTAAAATGAAGACCACATTCTGACCTCAAAGGATCATAATGAAGACTCGAAGAGAGAATCTGTGTAAAAGATTTAACAAAGAAGGAGGCATAGGGTGCTTAAATGTTTGCTGTATGGCAGATGAATGACAATGATATTTCAGTGATTACAGTCACAGAACTAAGCTTTCATTCTTTTTCCTCAAAAATCTCAATAACAATTCTCAAGTGAAAATCAAACCCTAAGTTTGCCATCATGAGTATCGTGGAATTACCCACAGATGTATAGAATTAAGGAGCAGCAAGGGACTGTGCCTGGCACTGTCCATCTCACCCTGTTGCACTTCTCCTTCTTTCTCCCTCCTACCCTAATCACCACACTTCACAGAGGAGGAATTGAGGACTGGAGGGTATAAAGGACTTGAGGGCAGGAGCTCTGCTGCTCAGTAGAGGAGCTGGAAGTCCAGCCCACGTGTTCTGCTGGTCCGTGTTTTGCCCAGTGTTCTATATGCCTCCCTAGTATCTGTGTGCTATTTATGAAGTCTTTGTCATTTACATATATCATTCATCCAGAAAAGTATGCCAAAAGCAGTTTGAAAGTATCAAATACTATTAAGAAAGTCAGTTCATTCTTCAAAGGAAAGCAAGGATTTTACTTCAGGAAGCTGTCACTGATATTTTATTAGGTGCTAAGTGCTGAGGCCTTCTGTTCCATTCTTCCCATCCTCAGCCCTTATTTCTTAGTTTTTGGGCTGTGTTCATATATCATTCTCACCTGAGCAGGCAGAATGGCCCCTGTTTCTCAGGCCTTGGGTTTTATTGCTAGGAGACCAGGCTGCTAGAATCCAATGGAGTTCTATCAACGGGCTGAGGCAGACCCTCCTGCTCCACACTGGACCCTCTGAAAGACTGCAGGTGCTGAGCCCACAGGCCTCCTTTATTATTGAGCTGGCTCCTTTGGCTGCTGCTTCCACTTTCTCCCCAGATAATCTGATCTCTCGACTGTCTTTCTTTCATAGCTTCTGGTCACCCACACTGTTTCTTTTGCCACCTTGAACTTGGCTCTGACCGGGAAGTGCCTTCCAGATTTGCCAGTCACGTGAATGTCGAGTTCAGCATGCCCACAACTTCTGCCTCCAAAGCCACAGTGAGATCCATCTCCGTGGAAGACAAGACTGACGTCAGGAAGTGGGTCAATTATTCTGCACACTACAGCTACCAGGTAGCCTTAGGAGGCGTCTGGCCAATGCTTCCAAGTCCATTTGTTCACCCCACTACCCTCCCCTTCTTATTCCTTTTAGCAATGCTTAGTATGTTTGCCTGGTAACCTCTTACTGCCTTAGAGGAAGTTCACCATATTACATAGCTGTGGCTGCATCTGCTCTGATTTAAACTGCTCTGATTTAAATCCGTAATCTGGCTAGTGGATGAGAGAAAGTTTGGAAAAAAAGAGGCTCATCAAAAAGGAGAATATAATGTCTTTCTGTCATGAGCAATGACAACAAAAAGAAGAATGGGGGCCAGGCACGGTGGCTCACACCTGTAATCCTAGCAGTTTGGGAGGCAGAGGTGGGCCGATTACTTGAGTTCAGGAGTTCAAGACCAGCCTGGCCAACATGGCGAAACCCTATCTCTGTATAAGTACAAAAATTAGCTGGGCATGGTGGCATGTACATATAGTCCCACCTACTCAGGAGGCTGAAGCAGGAGGATCACTTGAGTCCGGGAGGTTAAGGCTGCAGTGAGCCGTGATTGCACCACTGTACTCCAGCCTGAGTGACAGAGCAAGACTCTGTCTCAAAAAAAGAAAAAGAGTAATGGGGTAAAGGAGTTATTATTATTCATTTGTAATTTATGTCACAGAGTAGTGAGCTTGGAAGTGGAGGGGAGAAAGTGCTATATCATAGCATATGTTTCATTTAGAGTTGACGAAGTGGACCTGAACAGTTAGGACACATGTGACCTGGGTACCGGCCTGTAACAGGGCAAAAGTCAAATGCCAAGCAAACAAGCAAACGTTTGTAATAGCTACGGGGTCTGGGCTATGGAAGGAATCATGAAAGTTGGAGTTTTCTGACATAAATAGAAAGTGATACTTTCCAGAAGAGTGCCAACGACTGAAAAGGGAGTTTATTAAAAAAGGATATTGCAGGCCGGGCGCGGTGGCTCAAGCCTGTAATCCCAGCACTTTGGGAGGCCGAGGCGGGTGGATCACGAGGTCAAGAGATCGAGACCATCCTGGTCAACATGGTGAAACCCCGTCTCTACTAAAAATACAAAAAATTAGCTGGGCATGGTGGCGCGTGCCTGTAATCCCAGCGACTCAGGAGGCTGAGGCAGGAGAATTGCCTGAACCCGGGAGGCGGAGGTTGCGATGAGCCGAGATCGCGCCATTGCACTCCAGCCTGGGTAACAAGAGCGAAACTCCGTCTCAAAAAAAAAAAAGGATATTGCAAAGTGGTTTTCTATTTATAATAATATCCTTGGAATTATATGGTGATTTATTGTTTCTCTAAGTGTTTCCTTAGTTGCGTGGGCCAAAACATTTAACTACCAAAAAGAACAAACACTCCATCTTGTGGCTAGGAAAAAAATAGCACTTCCCTCAAACCTGACTGTTGTGTGTTGAATCATTACCCATACGTCAAGCATCATAAATATCCAAAGTGGTGCTGAGAGGAGCAACCTTAACCCTGAACTCAAAGAATTCCTTGCCTGAACTATCAAAGATTTTGGTTGAGATGTGTTACTTTCAAAGATGAATCTATTAATTTCTTGATAATTACAGCTACAGTACTTTGGAGAAGATATGGTAGAATTGTAAACACTCCAGTATTTATCAGTTTGGAGGTTTTCTAGAGGGATAGTATTGAAGGTAGCCGGGTGCCGTGGCTCATGCTTGTAATCCCAGACCTTTGGGAGGCTGAGGCAGGTGGATCATTCGAAGTCAGGAATTCAAGACCAGCCTGGTCAACATGATGAAATCCTGTCTCTGCTGAAAATACAAAAATAGCCAGGCATGGTGGTGCATGCCTGTAATCCCAGCTACTCTGGAGGCCGAGGCAGGAGAATCACTTGAGCCCGGGAGATGGAGGTTTCAGTGAGCTGTGAGCCAAGATTGCGCCACTGCACTCCAGTCTGGGTGACAGAGTGAGACCCTGTCTCAAAAAAAAAAAAGTATTGGAGAGGTACAAACAGTCAATTACGAAGGAGTTAATTCATTTGATAAATCTCTGTCAATTGCCCACTGTATTCCTACATTATTGCATACAATATTGAACAAGATCCTGCCCCTGTCTTATGGAGCCCATGGCATAGTGGAGCCAGACAAGTGTGCAAGATACAGTGGAAATACTCACAGGGAGAAGTACCTAAGACTACTTAATAAGTCAAAAATAGCTTCACAGAAGGCGTGACCTTTGACCAAATGTACAAGGCAAAGAATAAGAACTGTCCAGGTGGACCATGAGGAAAAGGGAATTTCAGACCAATCAAAGTACATGTGCAGAGAGAGACACATGATACACTCAGGGCCAGTAGCTCCAATGTGGCTAAAGCCCAAAACTAGCAAAATTACAAGAAATCTCAAAGTACCTTTGGAGTTTTGGTTTATTTCTTTATTTGCATGTTTTTCTCTTCTTTTTGATATTTATCTCCAACTTCTATTCTTGGCAGGTGGAAATTGAGCAAAAAAAGAGTTTGAAGCCAGACTTTGAAGGAGATGAAATGGAAAATCCCAAGGAGTGTGGAGTGCAGTGACAAAGCCTTGCAGCAAGGAATCCTGATCCCAGAGTCATGATAAGGTGTCTTCCTGAGTAGCTGAAGTTTAAGTTAATACCTGCTGTGGCCCCTCCATGTTGGGAATGGTGTACCAGATCTTCCTGTTTGCAGTTACTTGTATTTTACCAGGAAACCCTGAGAATGGTGGCTTTTAGAGAGGCTCTTTGATTCTGGTCATGCCTGAAGCATGTGGTTCACCTGACTGTTGGAGCTTACTCTATTATTAAGCCTCCTTACCTTGTCTCTGCTAATCTCGCAGCACTAGTATGTGGTTCGTTGTGACTGTTACTGTCAGGAAAAGAACCTTCCACATCAGTGATGGCACGATTCCCTTCTGATGTTCATCTGTCACTCACTTAAGTTTCTGGAAAAGGCAGTCTTGAGAAGTTAATTAAGAGTCATCACTTTCACTCTGTCTAGAAAAGGTTCAGAAAAGGTGCAAAACAAATTTCCTCTTTGGGTCTTACTAGACCTTTTGGAGGTGTCTTCATTCTTTAAATGTTAACACTGTGCAACAGAAGTTTCCAGGACATTTCCTCCTGGCTCTGGATTGTTTATATTAGAACACTTTTTCCAACTCTCTAAGGTTTCAGTCACAGGATTTGCTAACCTGAGTCACAATAGACAATGGGAAAAGGCACAATAGGAGACTTTTTAATTCTGTGAATGGAGCCACATTCTGTAAAATGGCTGTTGATGGGAAGGCAAAATTAAGCTTAGTTTTCTTCTCTCTGGAGAAAAGAGACATTAAATGTAAGATGATGTTCAGTTCAAGAGGTAGATTCAGTCTCAGTGAATTCCCAAATTCACACTGAAAAATAGTCCACTTCTGATTCCTGAAACAAATATATATAATACCTCAGGCATTTGTAAGGGGCATTTGGGAGTTCTTGTTATACCTCATGACCAATAGACAGTTGCATGTCCCTTTAACCCAAACTTTATAGGAAATTTAAGCTGCAGAGATAATTTTTAAAGCTGTTTTAAAATTAAGCCTGAATGAGCTTTCCCCAAAAATTTAGATTTTGATAATAATCGCAGTATTATAATGGATTGAAAAAGCATCTCTAGGGTAGAGACGGGAAAAGCCATATTTTTCTAATGTTGGGAACATTAAATCCTGATTCCAGGAGTCAGGACACTCACTTCATCTTCTTTTTCTTCAACTGTTTCTGGGACACTCAATCTTCTTTTTCTTCATCTGTTCCTAATCACCTGTTTCTTATTTCTATCTTGGTGTCTCTCCCATGAAGACTAGAGTCGGGGGACAGAAGGCACACTTTATCAGATTTGTAGATAATGCAGAAATGAACAACAGCTCCAGGTTTTGGCCGACGGATTCAAGATTAATGGATTCAATGAACAATCATTGGATTCTAAGTATGTATTGACACTGGGATATAGAAATAGTTACAGTATTTTGAAATATCTAAACATAAGACTGAAACTAAAAGGATGATTAAATAGGCATTAATGAGAAACCCTATATTGTTTTTTTTTTTAAATGCAACCCTCTAGTGTGTGTTTGTGGATGTGTGTTTATGTGTGTGGTGTCGATGGGAAGGGTGTTAGGGAGATCTGGTGTCACAGTAGTTTATAGAGAAACATTTCCTTACAGAAATCGAGGTTCAATTTTGAATATATCATGAAATAGGTCAGAAATATATCATGGCTATTCACAAAGCTAATGTGTTCAACTGGTGTTAACAAAAGCTTTGCATGCTTTTATTAACCCTCCATCTAGTCTACATCTAAATGGAGTGTTGGGTTCATTTATGGGTATCATAGTTTAAGAGAGACGTTAATAAGTTGATTGTGTCCACAGGCAGGTGACCAGGCTTGTTAAGTGTCTGATTACACAAGAACAAGGGAATAGCCTCGCTGAAGGAACAGAAGGTATAGCCGGAAAGGGAGTGCAGACAGGAAGGGAATGATATAATACCTGCCTCAAAATTTCTGTTGAGCTATAAAAAGGAAGAGGAATTAGATTATTCTGTGTAGCATCAAAGGGCAAAAATAAGAACAAAGTGGAACTTTACAGATGACAAGTGTTTGCTTCAATATAAGGAAAAATTTTCTAATAAGAGTTGTTGTAAAGAAAAATAGACTCAAGTTAGTAAAATTTCCAGTTCCTGTGAATGCTCAATCGTTAAAATAACCACCTATCCCACAGGCCGTGTGAAAGGGAATCTTACATTGGATTTGGTCTATATGTCTACCAAGATTCCTTCTAAATTTAGGTTTAGTCTCAATAGTAATAAGACTCTCTAACTTCAGTTGTCTTTTTCTTCCTAAGTGGTTTTTCATGCTCTTTAAAATACAGTGGAGTTCCTTTGAAGTTTTTGTCAAGGGATTTCAATGCATATCTCTTCCCCTGTTGTACTAAATGCTTTTGAGTTTGATTCCTCATAGAACATCTAAATGGATTGGAGAGTTGGCAAGGGGAATGAAGTTCATCCCAGAACCTTCCTTAGTCACTCCGGCTTAGCACTGTGTTAAGATCTCTGCCTCATCTGCTAGCATCACATGTGGTTTGCTTGTTGGAGCTTATTTTTCCCCCCATGGTTAATTCTCATTGCCTGCATACGTGCACCTGGACTTTTTTTTTTTTTAAGCAAGAATTGGGAAAAATCCCTTCTATGCTATCTATATTCTGCAAGCACATTATTATTATATTATATTATTATTATTTTGAGATGGAGTTTTGCTCTTGTTGCCCAGGCTGAAGTGCAATGGCATGAGGTTGGCTCACTACAACCTCTGCCTCCTGGGTTCAGGCAGTTCTCCTGCCTCAGCCTTCCAAGTAGCTGGGATTACAGACGCCCACCACCATGCGCCTCTAATTTTTTTATTTTTAGTAGAAATGGGGTTTCATCATGTTGGCCAGGCTGATCTCAAATGCCTGACCTCAGGTGATCCACCTGCCTCAGCTTCCCAAAGTTTTGGGATTACAGATGTGAGCCACTGCACTGGACCTGCAAATTATTATTAATTTTTAAAAACCTAACATCTTAATTTCATCAAATTTGTTTTCCCTCTACTGTTTTTAGGAAACTGATTATGGGTAGCATATAGGGGTTTGGGGAATATAATACTATATATTTTTAGACATAATGAGTGTTTTACTAGGTTTAAATAATTTCTGTAGAAAACACAATTGGGCAAATTACCTATGTAATAACCTACATAGAAAACAGTTTTGCAAATTACCTGTGGATGCACAGATTTTACGTTTACCACCCTGGACCTGGACTTTAATTTTAATTTTTATTTTTTTTGTGGTCACAAATAATCTTTGTTATCAATAATGTGAAAATATTAAAAACGAATTCATTTTACCAATATACAGAATTACTATTCGAACATAAATTAGATATCACATGGTATCAAGACCTGTGCTTTCTTTTCAGTCTAGGGCCTGCTTTTTGACTTTGCAGCAAAAAGATAAGAAATGTACTCATTACGACATGTCAGACAAGACAGTGTGAGGCACTTTGTGGGGAGACCATTAGATCCCCTTGCCTGCTCTTGCAGACATAGTACTAGTTATTCCTTATGAAAACTTTGCATTTCATTCATGTTAAATATTATCTGGACCGTTTTGTTTTTTCTATTTAGTTCTTCCTTTAACTGTGCTTTCCTGCCTATTGGCAGGGTTCATAATTCTTGAGAACACTATTTTATTTAAAATATTTTTTATTTGAAATGAGACTAATTTCTGTTCAAATTCAGTGACTGGTAATAAGAGTTTATTTCCCTGGAAACTTACGTTTCTGAGAAATGGGATCCATGAAAGCAAGGAATATATATAATTTTTTTATGTTTCCAACACTTAGCACAAAGCTTGGAATATAGCAGAGTTCAGCCACCTTAAATGCTTGCCGGTAGGGCAAACATATACTCATGAAATAAAGGAAAATGATTATGTATTCAATAAATGTTTGCTGAAAGAATACTGACCTTGAGACTCTAAGGCTACTTAACCCTTACCTACCATCAAATACTCACATTAAAGCCAGCAAGCATGCTTTTATTCCCTGAAGGACTTAAATAATTTTGCTTTCCTTTTATTCTTGCTTCCACAGTCAACTCATAAAACCTGTCAGCACTTAGGCACTTAATATGCTGCTGACTTTGAACTACAGTGTACCTCATTCACATTGAAAAACATTTTTGTGCCCAAAAGCATAGGAGCAAAGATGCTGTCCATAGTCCAGATTATTGATTGCTTTGTTCCTGCAAGTCAAACAGATCTATGAGCCTGAGTCTTGCCCATTTCAATGGTCAGTAGGAAAAGAAAGCGTTTGATAGAGTACACAACCAGTCTTGATGCACTGGGTCTTCGCTCTTCCCAGCATTATCCGCTGACCGTTACTGGGCATTTATTTTGTCACCACAGTGAGAGGGACATCTGAGATAGTAAGGTCGAAATTTTTAAGATAAAATCATTATTTCAGAGGTGATATATATTTCATAATAAGTTTAGTAGTGGGAAAACAGAATGAGCTGAATTTTTTTCTTAAAAGCCTGGGGAGGCCAGGCGCGGTGGCTCAAGCCTGTAATCCCAGCACTTTGGGAGGCCGAGGCGGGTGGATCACGACGTCAAGAGATCAAGACCATCCTGGTCAACATGGTGAAACCCCGTCTCTACTAAAACTACAAAAAATTAGCTGGGCGTGGTGGCGCGTGCTTGTAATCTCAGCTACTCAGGAGGCTGAGGCAGAATTGCCTGAACCCAGGAGGCGGAGGTTGCGGTGAGCTGAGATCGCGCCATTGCACTCCAGCCTGGGTAACATGAGTGAAACTCTGTCAAAAAAAAAAAAAAAAAAGCCTGGGGAATATTAAATTCATTTAAGTAGGAATCATTGCAATCCAGCCTACTCATAGAAATTCTCCCAGTTGGAATGGTAACTTTAACTCATCTAAAAATGAAGATTACATGTTAATTCCAGCATATCTAGGCCTTGGGTCTGTAATGTCCAATCTTTTGGCTTCCCTGGGCCACATAGGAAGAAGAAGAATTTTCTTGGCCATACATAAAATATACTAACAATAGCTGATGAGCTTTTAAAAAATGGCCCAAAAATAGCACATATATATATTTTTTTTCTTTTTTTTTTTGAGACAGAGTTTCACTCTGTCACCCAGGCTGGAATGCAGTGGCACAATCTCGGCTCACTGCAACTTCCACCTCCCAGGTTCAAGTGACTCTCCTGCCTCAGCCTCCTGAGTAGCTGGGACTACAGGCGTGCACAACCACACCTGGCTGATTTTTGTATTTTTAGTAGAGATGGAATTTCACTGTGTTGGCCAGCTGGTCTTGAATGCCTGACCTCAGGTGAGCCACCACACCTGGACAAAATGGCATTATGTTTTAAGAAGTTTACAGATTTGTGTTAGACCACATTCAAAGCCATCACGGGCCACGGGTTGGACAAGCTAGGCTTAAGTCATGTCAAGAATGCAATTTAAAAGGAATTTCAAAAAGCTAACAAAAAATTAAATCCACAGAAAAATATCATTTGGGGCTGGGCACCTTGGCTCACGCCTGTAGTCCCAGCACTTTGGGAGGCCGAGTTAGATGGATCACCTGAGGTCAGGAGTTTGAGACCAGCTTGCCCAACATGGTGAAACCCACTCTCTAATAAAAAAAAGAAAAAAAAAATATTTGGTAAATGCATTGTCTCGAACACTTCACTACCAAGTCCCATTCAAACCATGTCAACTCTTCACATAAAATTAGGGAATTCTCGCCAAGTTTCTAAAGATGATTTATTTTTAAACATTACCAATGTTTAAATGCTAATTCCATGAATCACCATTTCTTATCTTTTTTTGAGACTGGCTTTAGATATCATGACTCATATTTATGTATTTAAGGAATTAAACGTGAAGGAGATGTATAAGGCAACCACAAATGTAGAAAACAAATGTATGCGTTATAATAGTCTCCCAAGTATTAACTAAAACAAGAACGTGAGATTTTTAAATTTCTTCTAGTGTGCCTTACCAAATCTGCTGGAGAATGTCTTTTTCTTTGTTTTGAGTTGAAAAAAAATGCCTCTCTCAACTTGGCAATGCTACTAAGCCTGTAAAGGCAGAAACTATCCACAGTAATGAGTCTGGTAGTGCCTGGAGAGAGGCAAATGGTAATTGGAGGTAACAAAAGCTATAAGAAAACAGACTACAAAAAAAGAATTTCAATATGAAAAAGTAAATTATAGAGAGATGACAAATCAGCATTGGGTACCACGTTTCAAAATACTTTAACTAGAATCCATCTCTAAAAGTTAAAAGTAGGAAGCTCTAGGAAAAATAAAGATTGCATGGTAAAAAGGGATAGATGGCAGAATTAATTCAACTCAACAAATGTTTATCAATGTCTACTCTGGTCAGGTGCTGTGTTAGCAGTCAGCTTCCCTAAAGGGAGGAAAGGCTAGACATGAGAACATTGAGGATTGTTTATATAAACTTGCTTATAGGCGTGCCATAATGGATGGATTTAAGGGAAAATTGGGGTTTCTATGAGTCTTTAAAGGACATAGCCATGGAGACAATCACTATGTTAAGTAACTTGCTGTTTTCCCAATTGGGCTTCAGTTTCCTGAAACAAAAAGTGAGGAAGTTAGATTAATTGTTTTTTCAAGTCCTTTCTAATTCTAACGTTACGGGTTATTTTACAAAATATCCATTGGTGCCACCTTTCAGTGACTTCATATGTTTGTAAGAACCAAGAATTTTAAACTATGAAGATTGGAAAAATCAGCTGGTCCATCTTTTTCCTTTTCATATCTCTTTTTTATTTTTTGTCATTTCCCTAGACAACAGAAACACAGCCAACCTTCCAAATCCTCTATTTTGCAATTGCCTTCCAAACACAGATTTAAAAAGAGGATCAAAGAGGGTGATGAAGATCAGGTGGAATGCTTCTTTGGAAGTTCCACTGGCATCATCCATTAGAGAACAATGGTGTAAGTGTGAAGAGCTACAGACAGGTCTCCAAAATGGATATTAGGATTTGGGTACTATTTGACACAGAAGTAGGTCTAGCCCTCCAAGTACTGAGGATGCTAGGATGATCAGTGATGTGTATATATATGTCTTATGTCATTTTGTATAAAATATTGTGAAAATTGAAGGAGGACACTCAGTAAACATCCTGGGACTATTTGTAAGTTATGGCAAAACCAGATGAGAGAAAGGAATAGTTCCCTCTGCATCCTTACTGTCTCTTAGTAACAGCAAATTGTAATTTAAAAAAATTTAAAACTACATACAAGTTACAAAATAGCATCTCCCTTGTGGTATGTTTGAGTATGTAATTTTACTTTCTTTTCTGGTTGTGCTTGTGGTAGTCAGATGTGTTGGATTGATTCCAATTGGACAGAGTAAGGAATTCCAGCATCTTCTTCCTGTTTGCTCCTGGGTTCTCCCTCAGATCAAATCCTCAGTTCCAGCTGGGGATGCTGTCTAGCCCAACACTGTGACAGAAGCCTTAAGCACTGTTGCACCTCCATGTGCTTTGGATCGGCAACCCCAGTAGTATTTTACTGGAGCAGTTCTGGGAAAGCAGATGTACAGTCAGGTCCCAACAGCAAACTCTTGGGTGTAAGAGTAAGCATAGGGGTAAGGAAAGAGAAGGATATGAACTCCTCTAACCTTAAGCCAGCATTCATTTAACCTTTATGTCTACTTGCCAAGAGAACCTGGAGAAAGCTACCATATTCAATAGATTAATCAAAATCAGTGTTTTAGCCAGGCGGTGACAGAGAAGCAGCATTCCTCACCCTACATTCTTGTAATGTCTGTAATAAATTTTAATGCATCAGAATGGATGAACCCAAGATCTAGTGAATGATTCAGCTGATCCAGGCCTTGCATTTTCCATAATTCATCATCCATCTTCATTTAATGTAACCTCTTGCACTATCGTGGTTAATTTTATGTAAAACCAGTTTATGTTTTTTTAAATATGTGCCTATGTAATAAAGTCTACACACTGGCTATCTCTGTAGAGGTGAGGTTTTGTTTTTAGTTGTTCTACTGATTAGATCCTTTTTTGAGCTGTGAAAATTATTAATAAAAATGTTTGAACAAAGTGTCACTATGCAAAATTTAATGAGGTCAGACATAATGAAGAGTAATGTTTATTAATATAAGGCCAGTCACCCAACTTATATGGCTAGTGATCATAAGCTGACAAATTAACAAATGACCTGCTTAATTATCCTAGTTAAGTTTATCATAGGTATAATTTAGTCCATTCCAATTTTGTGCCTAATTCTGTGAGAAAACAAATAAAAATGGTTAAAATCCTTGAGGTTTTCTTGGAGATATGTACAAAATATATAATAAGCGAGAAATATAAATGAGCACGTAATCAAATAATAAATTTGCATTATGTTCCTGACTTATCATCAGTGCTAAACAAATAATTGTTCAACATCGATGAATCAAAATTACTAATGTCAACGTAACTTGGATGAGAAAAAATCAGTGTAGATTAAAACACTTGGGAAATTTTCACAGGAAAGATGGCTGTCAGCTGAGACCTGGAGGTGGGGTAAATTTTGGCTCAGTGATGAGAAGAGAATATAGTTTAGGGAAAAGACAAGAGTTAAAGTGGTATGTTGGGCTAGGAGGAGATCAGATAGACCCAGGTGAACGACTCATGAATATCCAGAGATAAAACTGATGGTTAAGCCAAGCTATGGCAGGGCTTGTATCTAGCCTGAGTTGGAACACAATCTACTAAATGCAATGAAGCAATTTTCGAATCTTGGCCATAAAGCATTATTCTAGAAAAATTAGTCTGTCAATACCATGCAGAGCATTTTGGATTTTAGGAAAGATTAAAGGCAAGGAAAATAATTTGTAGGTTTTCTGAAGTAAACAAGGCAAAAAATAAACAAAGCTTTGTGTTTTATTTTGTTCAAAGCAACCAGAAACATTTTATTGCAAAATATAATCATGCACAAGGGAGAACTCAGCCCAGGTCAGTGGCCTCCTGCTGTCAAGAGATCTCTGTCATTAGCAGAACACAGAGAATAGTGTAGCCTAGTCAGTACCAAATTACATAGTATCAGGTGCACAGAAGACTTACTAAATAAAAGCATAATATTAAGTTGGATATTCTGGGAATATTATACTCCTTCGCACTATTCTTCCATCCCTACCTGTCCAGAGTCCCCTTGAACAAGTTGTGAGAGCTAATTGCCTAGATCCCACATTGTTACAAGGCTTTTGTCTTCTAGGGTCCCCCTTTCCTTTAATATCCCAAGAGAAATAACTATCTGAGTAACTGTTTGAAGCCAGGCACACACCCCAGAGTTCCTCAGGATTTGGATAAGGAAGTTGAAGGCCAGAAGAAGTGAAGATGAGAGTTTAAATGTCCTCACTGTTATTTGTCCCTTCTGTTTCCAAACTCCTCTCAGCCCCTCCTTGAGCTCCTCCAACTATTGCCTCTCTCTTCCTCGATCTAGGGCAGATTTCTATATTCCCCAAATAGATTAATATTAGCTAACATTTACGTAATGCAGATACTCCCGTGCAGCCACTGGTACTCAGTATTTTAGGCATATTATTTAATAAAGGTAGCTTCCTCTCCATTCTGCAGGGCACTAATAATTCAAGAGTAGGGGGTATAACAGATGTTTACTGAAGATTAGCAATCACTGGTGAATATCTACAGCACAAAAACAAGAAAGAATTTTAAACTGAATATCATGGTTTGCCCCAACTGCTGACCATCACACCCAGCGCAAGCCTCGTGGATCCTTGGGTGGCAAGTTTGCTCCTCCTCTGCTCCAGGATGATCGGCCAGGAGACCCAGAGACCCTCTCCTCCTTCTCCTAAGCCTCCCCAGGGAACGACATTCCCATAGCCCCAAGCCAGGCACGCCGACCTCCTCACCACTGAGCCGAAGCAGTTGGTCCACATCCAGAGGAATATTAAGCTGCAGCCCGCCTCAGACTTGGGGTCTTCGGTGAGAGTTGGAAGAAACACATCAATGCGGAGTTTGGAAAACTGTGTTCTATAAAACAATTGGATTTCTTGCAGAAGAAAGACAACATTACACTGTTTATCCTCCCCAACACTAAAGTCTTTATCTGGACACAGATGTGTGACATAGGAGGTGTGAAGGTTGTCGCCCTGGAATAGGAGCTACATCACAGACCCCATCAAGCTCATGACTCTGCTTTCATATCCAGACATCTGTGTGACCTCTGCCTAGTTTGGAAAACATTTATGAAGAGCTACCTACAGACACAGATGATCATCTTGACCATGGAGATTTATCTGGGTGGGCCAAACAAGGTGTTCTACTCACCATCTTCACTGTGCAGGCCCATCAAGCCAACTCTCCTGAGAGAGGCTGGGAGTATTTTGCCAATGCAGTTGTGTCCTGGCTAGATCAGAACTGAGTGACCTTGTCTTCTTGATCTGGGCTTTTATACTCAGAAGGAGGGCAGTGCCATTGATAGGAGACGGCACTGTGTGCTGCAAGTGGCTCACTTCTTGTGGTTCTTGGTGTATAGAGAGTTCTTTGGATGTAGACACTTATTCCAAGACCAATGAGCTGCTGCAGAAGTCCAGCAAGAAGCTCACAGACTAGAAGGAGCTGTAATCCTCAACTGAGGGGTGCTCTGTCTCTATTGGTGGTTTTTGAGAAGCTGCTGTTCAAGTATTTTTCAATTATGAAGTCAAATTGAAAACTTCTGAATTAATCCTTAAGTACTCTGTGTAAGGAGGCAAAGCTTCCGTTAAAGCAGCCATGAAGCAGGCTGCCCAGAAATGGCAGCTTTATCCAGCCAGACACAGCAAAGGCTACTCTTTGACCAAATGTCTTTCTCTGCAACATGGCTTCAGCCCAAAATATGCAAACTTCTCAGAAGACAGGTAAGGTCAAATATTCACTCGGCTCTCTTCACCACCTTTACCGTTATGTTTCGGGGGGAGATTTCACCTTTTCCGTACAGCCCTAATATTGTACCTGCTGTTACTAGGTTTTGCCTGATTAGACTTCCAGTTACAAGGTGTTGGGGTGTTTTTGCTTAGAAAGGAACCCTTTTCCCAGCCTGGCTGGTATTCCAGTCCCAGCCAGGTACACTGCCCCCTTGGTCATTCAAGGAGTCCTCAGGCCCCTCCATAAAGGAAGCATGAGGATGTTTTGCAAGTTTCCAGAAATCAGGGCTCAATTTCCTAATTGTAGGGAAGGTGAAGTTTCCTAAGGAATATTCCATAGTGTGAGCCTTAACAGATAGCCAGGAACTGAGAAAAGTGACCTGGGTCTTGTTATTCTTTGGTGGTTTTGTGGAATTTGAACAAAGTAGAGGAGAAAAGGGATTTTTCTTAAATGCGGGGGTGAGCTTCTCCTAGAGTTATCTCGAGTTGGGGTTTTTAAGACAGCACGAATTGCCAAACGCTGTTTTATTATGGACTGCAATCACTTTGGGATATTTTTTTCTGCAACACTGAAAAGTTTTTGTTTAAAAAAAAAATACTTGGGCCGGGTGCGGTGGCTCAAGCCTGTAATCCCAGCACTGTGGGAGGCCGAGGCGGGTGGATCACAAGGTCAAGAGATC